TCTTTTGCTTGTTGATTTCGGGGAGGCTACGGAGAGTCGATTGAGGTCATCCATGGCGAAGAGGCAAGCACTGGTGTTGGGTGAGACAACAATGGGGGCTGGTAATAGTGGTCACTCACGGTTTTGGGATGTGATTGGTAAATACAAAGGCCTTACCAGGGAGGTGGATATGACTGGGGAGACTTTTGACAACAGCAGAAAGGTTGAAAGGTTGATGAGTTTTCATGAGGGTTTTTCATAAAGGGTTAATCCCCCTCTAGTTCACTTTTTCTAGTTTTATCTTTGCGTACTCAATAGTAACTTAAGGTTTTTTGGGAGTCACGCAGGTTATTGATTTTTTTATTTTTGTTGTTTTGAAAACATATTACTAATAGCCTTTGGATTAGTTCGAGTGAGATTTGGAGGCAGTGATAATCGATGTGCCATCATACTCCTACTTTCACCTTCTTATGAGTGGTAAATTTATACAAATTGATTTTGTTCATTTTTTGTTCTCTAAAACTTTGAGCAATTGGATCTTTCTTAAGTCAAATTTTGGCTATCGTAATGACAGTTTGAAATTCTATTTTGCAATCAAGGGCATTTTACTTTTGCATATCATATATTCATTGTTGTCACATATGGTATTGCTTTATGATAGTTGTATAAGATAAAAGAAACTTGATTTTTTTTTTCTTTTATACTTTTCTTTTTTTAATTAAGGGTGGTAGAATAGTATAGTATTTTTTTTAATCCTTTAACTCACTTAACCAGTGTTTCATTGGACACAAGCTCATGATATTTTATTTTTATTAAAAGAAAAACTTTCTTTAGTGTGGCATAAGAATCATTAGTAAACCTAATCTTAATTTCTAAGTTTGCAATTTGCATAGCATGGTTAATTTTCCTTTTTCTCATTTTTTGTAATGAGATTTTGTGGATCTTTCAATGAATCTGATGGCTTGCTTTTGCAATAAAAAACATAAATTATTAGAATCAACACACATGCTTAATTTCCTAATATATTGCCTTAACTTATTGGTGAATAACTGTCACGGTTTTAGTCTTTCAGTATTTTTAAATCTTCTTTGTAATATTATGTACAAAGTATATTTTAGTTAATAATAATTTTACTTTCGAAGATAATTATTAGAAAGGTTGGTTAGATTTAACTATAAATACTCCAACCCAAAAAATGGAGCTTAAATGGCTTTTTGTGATCACTTACCTCTTCTAGAGGTCTTTTCTTGTTCAACTTGACCTAACAACTATTTTTCAACTCCATCAGTTTCTCATTGTGGTTTTCAATTTTTTCTTTTTTTTTGGTTAAGATAAAAAATAATTTTCTTATTTTTCCATTTTCTAAGTTTACAAATAAATTTTTAAAAAATTAAAAAATATTGAAATTTGTTAAAACTTAACTCACTAAAAATCTAATTGCCTAGAAATCATCATCTCTCATTTACTCATTTCCTTTTCTTTCATTTTTTACTT